CGCTCCTTACTCCTCCTGAAGTCCACCACCAGCTCCTTGGTCTTGCTGATGTTAAGTTGCTGAACACGCTTGTTGTAACATTCTTCTGCTAGTTTGACTGCGTGCTGTACTCCGTTTGAAGCCGCTTTGTAAGCGATCATAACCGCTGGTGGTGAGACCTGCATTATACAGTACGCAGCATTACGGGAGTTCACAGCCTCGCGAACGGTTCCATCCACCCACGGCTTCTGGTTCACGAAAGTCGTTACTGTTGCCAGAAGCGTTGCTTCTGATTAGGCGGTCCAGCGCTTTGCCTCCCTCATGACCGGGACTTGCTGAAGAAGCTCCTGTTTATATTCCGGTATGAGGAATACAGTGTTGTGGCCCGATTTACCAAAAGCCAGCTGGGAAACAGCTTTGTTGCCCTGCTTGAATGGCATGTACAGTAGCAGTGATCAAGAATGTTTGCTCCCCTTGTTGTAAATGTAACGTTCCGATAAAAGTTTGGCATAACAAGTATTAGTTTTCTCAAAGTTTGCTTCATCAGTGTTTATAGATCTTTTTGTCAAATGTTTCTATGGTATACTGAAGTATAATTGCAATAAGTGTCAAAGGCATTTATTAACATTTACATTAAGGTTAAGGTTAAGGTTACTTTATTGTCATCAACGGCTTTATACATGTACAAAGTGTGATGAGACAACATTTCCCCATGGCCCTGGTGCAACATCTAGTAACACTGAACATCACATACAACAGGGCAAAAAGGTGCAAACAGGCAACACATTAAAGTGCAAAGGGTGCGATCACATTACAGTACACAACATTCTACGATGAATAGATGGAACAATAAATGGACAGAACAGTACACAACACTCCAGTATTTTTGAGTGGGGAGCCTTAGTGACTGAAATTGCACATGGTTATTATATTATATTATATTGCACAGTACTATTGCACTGGTTACTATATTGTACAGAGTAACCATGAAAGTGCAGGTATGAGGTATTTCAGAAGAGCTATGATCTACACTTAAAGTGTGTTCAGAGCCCTAATGGCTTGTGGAACGAAGCTGTTACACAGTCTCGTGGAGGCAGAACGGAAGCTACGATACTGTTTGCCAGATGGTACGAGTGAAAAAAGTCCATGTAATGGATGGTAGTGATCCTTCACTATGTTTCTGGCTCTGTTGCAGCAGTGGGTCTTGAAAATGTCTTTCAAGTGAGGTAGGGGCACACCGATAACCTTCTCAGCTTCTTTCACTATCCGCTGCAGATAGTTCCGGTCCGAAGCCTAGCAGTTCCCATACCAGACAGTGATGCAGCTGGAGAGAAGGCTTTCGATGGTGCTGGTGTAGAATGTCTTGAGGATCTGTGGTGGTAGGCGCGCTCTTTTTAGTCTTCGCAGAACGTGCAGCTGCTGACGAGCCCTCTCAGCTTTAGAGGAAGAGTTGAGGGACCAAGAGAGGTCCTTTGTGATATGGTCACCCAGGAACTTGGTGTTTTGCACCCTCTCGACAACAGCGCTGTCGATAGTTAGTGGTGGATGCATAGTGCTGGATCTCCTGAAGTCGATGATTATTTCTTTTGTTTTGTCCACATTTAATGAGAGGTGGTTGTTCTTGCACCAGTCTGCCACTCTTCCCACCTCCTCTGTGTATGCTGAGATGTCATTGTTTTTGATGAGGCCCACCACAGTCATGTCATCTGCAAATTTAATGATGTGGTTTGAGCTGAGCTCTGCTGTGCAGTCATGATTGAGTAGCGTGAAGAGCAATGGGCTGAGCACACAGCCCTGCTGCGTGCCTGTGCTCAATGTAATGGTGTTGGAGGTGTTGGAGCTGATCTGGACAGACTGTGGCCTGTCAGTCCGGAAGTCAAGGATCCAGTTCACTAACGTGGTATTTAGGCCCAACCCATTCAGTTTAGGTGACAGTTTCTGATGGATGATGATATTGAATGCTGAGCTAAAGTCAATGAACAGCATCCTCACATAAGAGGCTTTCTTTTCCAAGTGGGTCAGTGACAGGTGAAGTGCGGTGGATATGGCATCGTCAGTTGACCGCAACTGGAGGGGGTCGAGAGAGCTGGGAAGATTGGCTTTGATGTGGCCCATGACTAGTCTCTCAAAGCACTTCATGATAATCGGTGTTAAGGCCACGGGACGGTAGTCATTCAGGCAGGACACCGCTGATTTCTTCGGAACTGGGACGATTGTGCTGGTCTTGAAAAACACTGGAACAACAGCCTGTTTCAGGGAAGTGTTAAAAATGTCTGTAAGAGTGTCTGTCGGCTGGTCTGCATACTCCCTCAGCACTCGTCCCGGGATATTGTCAGCAGCTTTGCGTGGGTTAACTCTGGATAGGGTCTGTTTCACTGCATCTGTGGTCAGGCAGATTACCTCCTCTTCCGGGAGCGGAGCAGATTTCCTGGTAGGCTCAGTGTTGAGTGCATCGAACCGCACGTAGAAGGTGTTCAATGCATTGTTGCCGCATAGGGAGGTTGGTGGTTTGTAGTCTGTGATAGCCTGGATGACTTTCCACATGCTTCGAGTGTCTCTCGTGTTATGGAAGTGGCTTTGTATTTTACGAGCATATGCAAACTTGGCCTTTTTGATTGTTTTAGTGAGATTGGCTCGTGCAGTTCTGAGGGCATCCCTGTCTCCCGATCTAAAGGCAGCATCCTGTGCTTTCAGCATCATCTGGACCTCCGCTGTCATCCAGGGTTTCTGGTTAGCACTTGTGATGACCTTCTTGGAGACAGTGACATCCTCAGTACATTTCCAGATGTAGCCAGTCACAGCTGCGGTGTACTCCTCCACATCAACACGGTCCCCCATAGGTGGCAGCCTCTCTGAACACTGACCAGTCTGTGCTCTTGAAGCAGTCTTGAAGTGCAGTGATAGCTCCTTCAGGCCACACTCTGATCTCTCTCTGGACCGGTGATGTGCGTTTTAGCAGCGAGCTGTAGGCTGGGATCATTTTCACTGAAATGTGTTCGGATTTGCCGAAATGTGGACGGGGTTTGGCCCGGTAAGCGTCCTTTATGGTGGTGTACACGTGGTCCAAGCAGTTTTTTCCCCAGGTTGCAAACTTTACGTGCTGGTGAAATCTAGGCAGCACTGTTTTTAAATTGGCCTGGTTGAAGTCGCCTGCGATTATGGAAAACCCTTCCGGGTGGGCAGTTTGCAGGTTGTGAGTCGTACAGCTCCACTAGTGCCTGGTTAGCATTTGCGCTAGGTGGTAGATTAAGTTTATGCAAAGAGTCAATATCTGCAGTGTTGGCCCTTCGTTTTCAAGACCTCTGCAATTTGCCCTGGCATGTTGTCGATCACCTTCTGGGCCAAATCCTGACTGATGGCAGCTTATTCTTGCATAATCAATGCTTGCAGTTTGTCAGAATTTGTGGGTTTTTGTTTGTCCACCTGCCTCTTGCGGATTGACCACAAGTTCTCAATGGGATTAATGTCTAGGGAGTTTCCTGGTCATGATCCCGAAATGTTAATGTTTTGTTCCCTGAGCCACTTAGTTATTAGTTTTGCCTCACAGGTGAATGGTCTCAGGATGCTTTACTGTTGGCACGACAGAAGACTGGTAACCGGTAGCGCTCACCTTTTCTTCTCCGTACAATCTTTTTTCTGGTTGCCCCAAACAATCGAAAAATGGATTCATCAAAGATAATGGCTTTACCCCAGTCCTCAACAGTCCAATCCCTGTACCCTGATGTTTTTATTGGAGAGAAGTGGCTTCTTTGCTGCCCTTCTCGACACCAGGCCATCCTCCAAAAATCTTCGCCTCACTGTGTGTGCAGATGCACTCACACCTGCCTCTTGCCATTCCTGAGCAAGCTCTGCACTGGTGGTGCCCCAATCCTGTCTGCTATTCTAACTCAATCAGCATGACAGAGTGGTCTCTATCCTTGTCCCCGTCAACACTCACCTGTGTTAACGAGAGAATCACTGAAATGATGTCAGCAGGTCCTTTTGTGGCATGGCTGAAATGCAGTGGACATGGTTTTTTTGGGATTAAGTTCATTTTCATGTCAAAGAGGGACTTTGCAATTAATTGCAGTTCATCTGATTACTCTTCATAACATTCTAGAGCATATACAAATTGGCATTATAAAAACTGAGAAAATTCATTTAAATTAACTTTGTGAAAATTAATATTTGTGCCATTCTCAAAACTTTTGGCCACAGCTATGCTCTGTTATCTGCACTCATAGAAAGCCTCTTGTCTAATCAGATTTCTTGGTCGGAATTAACTGTTGTTTAATGATTCTTAAATAGCATATACTATATCGTATTGAAATGGAACCCACTCCATCCATTTTCTGTATCTGTCATATTCGGGGTCACAAGGATCCAAAGCCTATCCCACAAACCATATGCACAAGACAGGGAACAATCCAGGATGGGGTGGCAACCCATCATAGGGTACACTCACACACCATTCACAATTTGGTAACTCCAATTCCGCTTAGTATGTTTTTGGACTGGGGGGGGTAATCTAGTGTACCTCACATGCAGTGTTGACTTTTACATCGTAAATCGCACATTGCAAGCCTAGTACTGTGGGCAGCACAGTGGCTAAGTGGGTAGCACTGTTGCTGCACATCCCTGCTTTACTAGTGCGTGTTATTATCCCCATGTGTTTACCTCAAATCCGCCACTTTTTTAGAATGTTTAAATTTGTAGGTAGTCTCTTTATTGCTGTTTAAGTGTTTTGAGGTTGTACCATCTTGGCCGACATCCATCTATCCATAATTATTATTAACTTTTATATAGAACCTATTCTACACCATGAATATAGCTGTAGCTACTTACATGGCATGAAAATTCAATTAACTAACTAACACCGGATCTCCTGGTCCAAAACATGCAAAGTGAGTAAATGATTTTAGTGTGAGTGAATGAGTGAGTGTGAACCTTGTGATGGAGTGGCATCCCATCCAGGCTTAGTTCCACCCCTTTAAAAGCCCCCCATAGTGAGTCAGTGTGTGTTTGTGTGTGTTTCTTCACAGACCGAGACTTTAACATCCAGCTGAGCACCGAGAGACGGGCCTACATGACAGGCGAGCCCCTCGAATTACGCTGCGCCATCGATGCGCAGAACATTCTGGAGCGCTACTTCTCTGTGTCCTGGGTGTTCAGCAGCTCGCCAGTGGCAATGGTCGGGCCTAATGCCGTACCGTTGCTAGCTGGGGACTATGTGCAGCGTGAGACCACTGGACAGCTCACGGTACGCAAGGAGAGTCAAGCCGTCTACCTGCTGAGACTGCAGAACCTGCGGCCTGAGGATGCTGGGAAATACATCTGCCGTGTCACCGAGCGTGAGCGCACCCTGACTGGGGACTTCATCGACCGGAGCAAGAGGTCCCGCAATGTGCAGGTTACCGTTCAGCCTCTCCGTAAGTAGCAGCAGCTCACTGCTTTTCCTGTTGCTTTCTGAGAAAGAAGCTCAGTTTTGTCTGTTAAATCTGGATAGTAACAGAAATTCCTATTGTTTTTTTTTTTTAAATCAGACAAGAAATGCTCTTTGACCTCCATGAGTACTTGATATTACTTTGTAAAGTATTTTTTTCTCCAAAAGTTCTGCATTTGTTAGCATACATGCTACCACTGAGTGAATTTCCAGCCAAAAGCTCCCCCAGTTAAAAGGGGAATGAAGATGGTTTTATTTAGCATTATACAGATACCTCTGCACTATTTACCATTCCACATCTTGGAAGTGCATATAATAGCAGGATTTCTCGTGCTGCTCGATTCAGTGTTGGAAGAAATGTGAAAAGGACAGTGTGACACTGATTACAGAAGGAACACAGATTTTATTCTCCTAGAAACAGAATGGCCCCTGAAATAGAATCTGAATGGCAAATGAATGAAGAAAGAAATGTTTACGTGAATTGGAGAAAAGCAAGGTGCATCATCAGCAGCTGGTAATGGGCTTAAAGCAGTCATTAGGGTCTGAGTAGGATTACTGAGAAGGAGAGATCACCTCTTCTGTCCTCAACTGTATAAATGCAAAATTATCATTCAAACAAATGCCCTATCCCACTGTTTCTCTGTCCCCAGGAAGCAATTTGACTGTGTCATTAATCAGTAACTCCACGGATATCGAGGAGAGTGGAACCATCCAGCTAATGTGTGAAATTCAGTCCATCTCTGGCAAAGTGGCTGGCCTGTCCGTCACGTGGCGGCGGCTGGACAGGAATGGCAGCACCGAGCAACACATTGCTGCCCTGGACCAGGAGGGTGTGGTCAAGCTGAGCCCCGCTTACAGCGATCGTGCAGCCTATGGGGGGATCCGAGCAGAGCGCACTGACATTGACACATTCTCCCTGTCCATCTACAACGCCCTGCCCAGTGACGAGGGCCAGTATGAGTGTGAGGTCACAGAGTGGCTCCCAGGGCCTAACAACACATGGGACAGTATTGGGGAGAAGACCGCAGCCACATACGTGATGGTCCAGGGCAAAGGTATGTCTGTATGTCAGCGCTTGTCCAGTGTTTGTAAATAAATGGCTGCATGTGTTCTTGTGTGATTCAGAGAGATTTGTTAAGAAATACTGATTGACTAAATTAATACAATATTTCCATTATAGACTGTAGAGGACTAGAACTGGACCATGTTATAGCCACAGGAGCAAAAATTTGGACACATCTGCTTTTAATGCATTTGTCTCTATTTTATCTCTTTCACCTTACCGTAAAAGGCCTTGAGGCAATGAAGTAATACATATTGTTTGACTTATGAACTGTAACATTGTGGGCACAGACATCAAACTGCTCCCCTACACAGGCAGGTGTGGAGAACTGACTCATTGATGGACTTTGGCGTTGACCTTGATCACAGTTTACACCTTGCTTTTAGTAAGCAAGCCCACTTTTTCTTTTCCAGTTGACCTTGGATCCCCAGAGGTTTTTTTTTCTTCCCTGCTTCGGAGTTTTTGGTTCCTCTCCTCCACTGTCATCTGGCTTTCTTTGTTTCTTTCTTTTCCTTTTCTTTCCTGCTTTTATATTATTATAGTATATCTTAAGTATGTTGTAATGTATCACAACACACCCATGTAAAACGCATTGGGGGAACTCTGTTGTGAAAGGTGCTGTATAAAAATGAATTGAATTGAACATATCAGATATTGTAATGACCAAGAGAAGTGTTCAACATCTTAAAACTTTAGACCATTCACTATTGCCCTATTTTGCTTTGATGACTGCATTGCAGAGTCTTAGTACCAACCTCCAGGTGTAGCCACCTGGAATACTTGTCCAACAGTCCTGAAGGAGTTTCCACAAGTTCTGGGCACAAGTTGTCTACCTTGCTTTTACTCTTCAATCCAACTCATCCCAAACCTGCTCTATACAGATTAGTTTGGGGGATTGTGGGGCCCTGGTCATATGTCACAGCACTCCATTTCATTTCTTGTTCACAAGATAATACAGTACTTACATAACCTCAACATGTGCTTAGGGTTATTATCTTGTTGACATTTGACTGGTACAGTACATAGTCTCTCTGACAAAATAGGTTACAGTAGTTGTAGAGTTCACATGCAATACTTGTTTTTTTTCTGTTGTTGCACCTTACCCCACGTAGACCCTGAATCCTGCTTTATATTTATAAATGGCATTTACCCTCCTCCAATGTTTATCCTTCATTTATGACTCTTGCCTCTGCCTTGAGAGGATTTTATGAACCGTTCCATTATGGCATAATCAACTGTTTGCTGCTTTCACTGAGAGTGCTGGATGATGTAGACCCAATTTAGCACTTTTAATGCTTTGCAAACGGCAATTCATTTGCTCACATTTATGGTTTTCTCTCTCCTTCTCTGCTAACTGGGCGTCTGTGACCTGTGAGTGACCCCTGTGTGGCAGGCTGTGCTATAGAATGAGGAACAGACAAAGGTAGTAGTTCTTATAGAGATACATGAGTAATGTGCATGTGTGCTCTGTGTATACCAAGGATTAGACTGGCTAGCATCTGTAGCCTGGTATGGTCACAGCCACCCTGCATCGCTGCGGGTATGTGTGAAGTAGTGGGAGTCAGAGGGGGTGGCTAATATTTGGGAAGCACAAATCAAAGCATTCCCATATCTACAATGAAGGAAATAATTATTTGACCCCCCCATTGAATTCCTAAGTTCACCCATTTATAAAGAAATGAGAAGTATGTTTATTTCAACATCAGAAGATAGATTTTCAACAAAACAAACAAGAAAAAATCATTATGTAACAGGTACAAATCAATTTGTCATTTATCTAGGGAAATAAGTATTTGATCCCCTATGTCATGCCCCCGACCGTCCGCTCCTCCTGTCGCCAGCGTACCAGCTGAGGGACGATCGTCCTGGGATTCTGAGGATGATCCTGGCAAATCATGCGTTCTGCGACCCCAGCCTGTACTGGCCGGATGATGACTGGCGACCGAAGCCGGCTCACGAGTTACCTGGTCTCGCTGCAATAACGCAGCAGAAGAAGCGGAGAGGCAGAAGACATGCATGAGGTCTGTCTGGGGGCCATCTCCATTTCCGCCGCTTACCCTGATGCACGTCAGGAGAATCCCCGTCCGATTCTCCACCCGGTGGTGTTCGCGGATGACGTCACCACCGCTTTGCCTGAGCGGACGCCCAAAGCCCGTCCACCCGCCGCTTCGCTGCTTAAGCCCGCAGCCTGTCCCTTCATCAGGGTTCCGCGGTTTCTGAAGCGGGCAGCGCCCCCCGTGCTTCCTGAGGCTGCAGCGCCCCCCCGTGATTCCTGAGCCACGGCCCTGCCTGGAGACAGCTAGGAGGTTTTTCACCCTCCAGGGACTATACTGCCGAGTGGTGGGGGAGCCCGCAGTGAGCGCCTCCCCAGAGGCGGGTACCTTCCAGGAGCAGCTCCGGAGGGAATTTGCCACCGTCACCCTCAACTCCCCACTCCAGCAGCTTACCAAGGCAGAGGAAACCCTGAGAAAGCTGCTTCGCTTGCAGTTATAGCAGGCTCCTCCTGCAGAGGAAGAGGCTCCTGCTGCTGCACCGCCCGAGGCCGTTCCTGCGCCTCCTGCCCAGTCCCCTGAGCTCCCCGTGACTCCTGAACTGCCCGCTCAGCTCCCCGTGACTCCTGAGCTCCCCGCTCAGCTTCCCGTGGGTCCTGTGCTCCCCGTGGTCCCCATGCCAGGGGTGAGTGCTCCCCTGGAGGCGCCTGCGGCGCCCCCTGCTGGTGCTGATTCGGATGTGCCTGCGGCTGCGCCCCTGGCCCCTGCAGTGTCCCCTGAGGTTCCTGCGGCACCCCCAGAGGCGCCTGTGTCGTCTCCTGCTCCTGCGGCGCCCCCTGTTGGCCTGCCCCCCGAGGCCGTTTCTGCACCTCCTGCCCAGTCTCCTGTGCTCCCCATGACTCCTGTGCTCCCCGCGGCATCCCCTGTGACTCTTGTGCTCCCTCCTACAGCACCCGAGGCCCCTGTGCAGCTCCCCGCGGCTCCAGAGCTCCCAGCTCAGCCCCCCGCGGCTCCCAAGGCCCCTGTCCCCGAGGAGGTCCCCGACTGCTGGTCTGACGCTCCTCCCTCCATAGTGGAGTTGGAGGGGGAGCTTGAGTGGGACCCCTCAGGGATTGCCCTGGCTTCCCCCGTGGCTTCCCCTGTGACTGCCCCATGGCTTCCCTTGTGACTCCACTGTCACCCCAGTGTGACAGACCCCGGCCGGGTCCCCGCCTCTCAGTCTCCCGGAAGGGGAGGGGACACCTGTGCCGGGGCTCGGCGGTCGCCTGCGGCCGCCCTGGCTTTGGTTCGGCGATCGCCTCCGGCGCCTCGTCGGTCGGCTGCGGTACCGCCTCCGACGCCTCGTTGATTGCCTACGGGTCCCCCGCGGCCGACTTGTCGGTCGCCTCAGCTTTGGCCGGCGGCGGCTGCCCCTTCGCCTGCCACGGCTGCCCCTTCGCCTGCCGCGGCTGCTGCTCCCTCCTCCCCTTTGTCTGTGTCCCCTTCGTCTTCCTCCTTGGCTCCTCCATTGCTCCCTTCGCCTTCTTCCTCCTCACCTTCGGCCTTCCCTCCTGCTCCCTCCTCACGGTCGCCTGTGGCCCCTGCGGCTTCTGCCCCTCACCTGCCGGGGTTCCCTCTGGCTCCCTGTTTCCCCCCGCCCTTTGCCTCCTTGCTCCCTGCCTTTGTGCCCCCTGTGTTTGCTCCTCATCCTCCTGTTTCTCCTTTGTTCACTCCTGGCCCCTTCATTCCTCCCGTTGGTGTTTCCCCTGTGTCTCTGGTGTTGCCCCTGTGCCTGTTTGCTTTTCCCGTGGTTTGTCGGTTGTTTTCTGAGTTGCTGTCCCTGTGTCTGTTCTGCGTGTCTGTCTTGTTCCCTGTGCCCCGTTGAGTTTTTTGCTTTTGTTTTCCGGGTCCTGTGTCCCTGTCGCTTTGCTCCCCTTAGGCGCGCCAGGAGTGCACGCCTTTGGGGGGGGGGGGGTTCTGTCACGCCCGATCGTCCGCTCCCCCTGTGTGCCACGCCCCCTCGTTAACCCTGCGTGGATTCCCA